AGCGGATTCCTGTCAGTTTCTAAATTCAGCAGTACGCAATACACCATCAAAAGAACAGCAGATTTGACCTAAACTAGTCTGCAATAGTGGAAACATGCATGAGCATACAACACTACAAAGCAAACCATTACAACGCTCACCCAAATAAAAGGATGCAACTTGAACAGTGACAGATCAACCAATGTTTATAATACCTATGTCATTTAAGACCCAAGCCAACAAAAATAGATCAAGCTCAGTGGATAAAAATAGACCACTGATCTCAGATAAATAAACACAAAAACAGATGGAACTTGGGAGGAAAAAACCTACCATGCCAAAAAAAAAAAAAAAAACCCTATGCTGAAAATAGCATAATCTGAAAACCAGCATGTTTTCATTTTAAACGTTTCTAGTAAAGAGTTTATGCAAAACGAAGGGCTGCGCAGGCACATCCAAGACGGTGTTTACGAACCGAAACTCACCTTGTAGGCCATTTCCACAACTTACCTTGAAGACCATCTCCAAAACTTACCTTGTAGGCCATTTCCATAAATTATTTACATACCTTTATAAACATCAGTCAACATCTAAGCAACCATCTATGCATAAAACGTTTTCTGAAAGGCATCACTAAACTGCAAGTGTCAGCAATCAATGTGCACTTACAGATAGCTCACCTGACAAGAGATCAGTTTAAAATCCTTAAATTGGACACGGTCCACATGGTTACACGTATATCTGCAGGATGTCACACCTGGCAGGATAATGATTAATGATCATTACCCTGTATCTAGGATGCAAGTGCATGCCAGACGTTACATAAAAATATTCACTAGCGTGCTCACTGTGCACAAAGGACCATACTTACCTTGGGAGAACAATACCTACCCTGACACAGCCTTACAAATTGATCTGATAAAAATTGGTCTGAGCTCTCAGAATAGTATCCCAACAGCACTGTTGCTGCATCCTGTGGTCTAGAGTGCCCATGATCTGGGTAAACCATGCATTGTACGCATCCTGCTGGTGTCCAATTAAAACTGGTAATCTTGTCCTAGACTAATCCCAGGGGCCACATATACCATCTTAATCATTGTTTTTTTACCCAGGGTAAAAGTAGTCCACAAATTTGTCTGCTGCAGCCAGCCTTGGCTACACACACCAGACATTCACAACACTAGTTTGAGGTGGAAAAGTGCTATGTGCCGCAGTGAAGAGATCTGAAGTTTAAATTTACCCTCTCTCAAAGTAAATAAAAATGTGTACAGAGTGCGATGGGCTGACAATGCGTTGCACTGACAGGCAAAACAGACAGCAGCCCTCCTGCAAAAAAAAAAAAAAAGGGGAGAGTTTTGGCATCATCCAGTCAGTGTGGCTTGGCCCTCACACAAGGATGTTCTTGTGCCTTGCGTTAGCCCATTCATTTTCAATAGGCTGTCAATACACAAGGAAACATACTGTGTAGTATTTTTCCAGACAACCATGCACTGTAGTGCTACCGGGCGTTGTGGTGCCCTGCAGTGCATTGACTTAATGCATTATAGCTTAACTCCACGTAGCCTGTAAAGCATTGCACCAGAAATCAGCAGATCGCTGTGCCAAGCAAGACTCCAGCAGACTGAGTGTAAGCTGTCTGCTCACTCATTTGGGCAGACAGTTTTACACTGACGGGAAGACTTGGTGAACCACCACAGCGCTCAACATTGCCGTGGTAGTTCAATGAGAATTACAAGCCTACATCCACAAAGGATGTTGGTACATGCAGTTCTTTCATTCATTCACAGAATGAATGAATGACGAAGCCATGTGGGTGGAGCCACGAACGGCTAGGCTGTTTTTAAAAAGTGACAGCTGGTACAGGGACCTTCTCCTCGTACTGCTATCACAGGGAGGCAGGGAATCAGGCAGCGGCAGTGGGAACATGGTCCACCCTCAAAACGAATGGAGCATGTAACATTTTCCCAAAGATGAACTTATCCTTAACAGCTTCCCGACCACCCTATAGCAGAAGTACTTCTACAAGGTGGCAGGTATGCGCAAAATCATGTGATTTTATATTATCAGGTAGGGGCCAAGCTGACTCAAAAACTATTTGCTGCACTAACAGGTGTCTTTGTTGGGATTGCTGCGTAAACTGTATGCAGCCTGTTACCAGTTATTATACAGCACTGGGGGGGGGGGGGGGGGGGGGGGGGGGGGGGGGGGGGGGAAATATTTACTAAATCTGGTGCAGCAGTGCATGCTAGCCAATCAGCTTCTATCTTCAGCTTGGTCACTTAAGCTTTGACAATAAAACCTGGAAGCTGACTGGTTTCTCTGCAATTTTAGTAAATACCCTCGTGTTCCTGCAGTGGGACAGAGGCTTCCCATCCCACTCATGGATCAAAATAAAGTCAGGCTGAGGGCTGCTCAGCCATTCACAGGAAGCTTTGTATTCTATGAGCAAATACAAAGCTTCCTCTGACTGGCTGAGCCAGAAATCATGACAACTCCACCCTAGTCAGAGGAAGCTATGTATTCATTTGTAGAATACAAAGCTTTCTGAACACTGTGTTCCGGGAATGTTGAGCTACATACATGGAGCAGCAAATTCATTTCAATAAGATGCCCTACATGCAGTAAATGATCTCATGCTCCTCATTCCACTTGCCACATTTGGGGTGCCAATAACAATGTAAGGCACTGCATTTTTTTCACATGTGAAAATTTTGCACACTGCTATTTGTGAAGCCAGAGGGACTATCATGACTATGGTCACTGTCCATGCCCCCTGAAACTTCCACTTGTTGCATCCAGGAGTTCCTCATCCTGTGTAATATGTCCACACAGCCACATCATTCATTTACAGGAATCAGTGAATGAAAAGACCACAAGTCCCATCTGACACCTTGGCAGAGGGACTCCTAGATATAATTGGAACACAAGTACAGTGATGTCACTTCAACTGCAGTCCATGGATACTTCCTCCAGCACTGTAACTTAGATCTATACCTCTGTCCAGACCTGCAGAAATATAGCATGCAGGGGACTCGGCATTACACCCCTGATGTGATGAAGACCACTGATCATTGTTGCAATGCTTTGAAGACTCCAATGCAGCATAAATAAATGCACTTTTGTGCAGCTGCATTCATTTAATTTGCAAAAAGGTGGAATTGGCATTTTTTTTTAAATGTTGCATAGTTCCCCTTACATAGGCTAGAAGCATGTGACCACTCTATATAGACAAATCACCTCCTAACACAAGGAGCACACCGATGACACAGCTAACCCTACACACTATGTACAATGCTGCAGTACTCAGATGATGGTAAAGATGACAGTAGAATACCAGCTACAGCCTAACTAGTCTAAAAAAAAAAAAAAAAAAAAAAAAAAAAAAAAAAAAAGATGCATATACCTACCTATTATAAACCTACTCTGGTCACATGATCTGGCTCCCATGTCAGCCAGAGGCAGCTGCAGGTAAGTGGAGAAAGAACCCAACAACGGCTGCAACATAGGACTCTACAGGTGACATGACGTCACTGCTGCTGTTTTCAGAGCTCTCTCCATTCCCCTCCAGCCTCCACAGGGGATCAAGAGACCACAGCAGGCTGACAATAGGCCATTATATACACCTAGGTTTGTTAGTATACATGGGGGAGGGGGGCAATTAAGACTAATTAGGCTTTAGCTGACATTCTACTTGAAGTTGTGGATCACTCAGCACGTTCTGGGTTCTATTCTGAGAGCTCACACAAAAGCCACATTTTTGGTTTAGGATGGAGATCTCGAAGCTCTACTGACGGAGCACTAGATCTAGAAATAGCCTCCACTGATGGAACACTAGATCTAGAAATAGCCTCCACTGATGGAACACTAGATCTAGAAATAGCCTCCACTGATGGAACACTAGATCTAGAAATAGCCTCCACTGATGGAACACTAGATCTAGAAATAGCCTCCACTGATGGAACACTAGATCTAGAAATAGCCTCCACTGATGGAACACTAGATCTAGAAATAGCCTCCACTGATGGAACACTAGATCTAGGAATAGCCTCCACTGATGGAACACTAGATCTAGAAATAGCCTCCACTGATGGAACACTAGCACCAGCGAGGCATGCTGGGAATTGTAGTTCTCAAACAATCCTTGAACAGATATGTGCCAGATTTTCTCAATGAAGACACCAATGAGAGCACAGTGGTAACCACTAGCAAGCGGACATGTTTATAGAAGTGATATCCAATATTGGGGGGGGGTTAGGGCACCCTCAATTGAGGAGTGGATCTCAGACAGTCCATCCACTACATCACAGACAGGGATCATTTTCCAGGAGAAAGCCGGCCATGCTAACCAAATTTAAAAGGCACTGTTCATTTAAAAAAAAAAAAAAAAAAAAATGCAGTTAAGGGGTCTGTAGATGAAAACAAACGGTGCAGATTTGACTAAAGCTAAATAATACCCTTGCTGTAGGTGTAGGCCATTTATGCACCCCATGAAGCCTGATTGAAAAACTCCCAGAGATGGCATCATCCCACCCTGCCTTGTTGCTAGGATCTTGCTAAGACACACCCAGCTATTGCTGTTCACTTCCACCATCACATGCTGAGCTACTGCATCAGAGGAAAGAAAGAATGTGAGGGGGTTTGAACCAGAACGAGCTCACTAGTGTGATGGTGGAGGTGACCAGTAACCGTGCAGGAGTTTTTCAGTCAGGCTCCAGGAGGTACGTAAATGGCCTACTCCAATGCCAAGGAGCTCATTGAACTGCAGTCAGAGCCGCACTGTTTTACCTACACAGCCCTCTTCTGCACACGATATTTCGCGGTAAAGCTGAGCTAGTTCTTTAAGCCTCGGCCAGACATGTTTATAGGGAGACATAGGCTGGCTCCATCTCACCTGAACAGCCCTGTGATTGGATAAGCCGTGTGATCGCACTGTCTGAGAGCACCCTCCCCTCCCATGGCGGACTGTGTGTCCTCATCCTGCAGATATACATGTCAGAGCACGGCGGACCGGCCATACTCACCTCTCCGGGATGCTGTTCTTCTTCACCATACTGCCGGCACGAGGCGACCAATGGGAGCGCGCTTAGACCGTAGGGCGACGAACGTACCACGCAACACGGCACCCCTATCACCAGGGCCTGCCGGAGAGCTCAACTACACCCCGCGGAGTTCACCCTCTCCTTCGTACACTACCTAACAACACCCTGACTGTGTCTGCAAGTGACCGACAGCACACACCGGACTGCCACCTCTCCGTAACTGTACACTGCGAAAGGACTTCTAGGCCTTCCGGTGACGTCGCGGTAGCGTCTTGCGCATATACGAGCCGCCCACTACGCCGAAATTCCCGCAATTGGCGTAGCGTACAGTTTCTTGTTACCATCCTCAACTGAGGAGGTGTGTCCTGCTTGTTACGTAACTAGCGTAGCGTACGCAGTTTCTCCTCAACTGAGGTGTGTCCTGCTTGTTACGTAACTAGCGTAGCGTACGCAGTTTCTCCTCAACTGAGGAGGTGTGTCCTGCTTGTTACGTAACTAGCGTAGCGTACGCAGTTTCTTCTATAAAATATAGGCTGTGTGTCATACGCATAACGTAATCAGCGTAGCGTGGTCAGCATGTTGGCGCCATTGGAAGAGCTGTATTGAGTATTGTTTGCGGCTTTCCCAATGTCGGTGACATGGCGGCTACAAACCACAATACAGGGCTAGAACTGTGATACTGGAATATGTATTATACAAAATAAAAAGCTGTGTACATTTCTGACCATTCATTTCTCTCAATAAACGGGTGTCTGTCAATGCCTGCCAACCTGCGTCTTACAGGCAGGAGGAGGTAATAAAACAATGGCGGCTCACCTTAACACAATCGTGTGTGTTGTGCGCACCTGTAGCCTGGTCCCGATCACTTGAGTGAAGCATAGGTGGCTGCGATTAGGTGGGCGGCCAGCTTGGTGACGGGTAGACGTGTACTTTGTTTAGTTACACATCGAAATTCCGATGAAATTTCATTATTCAGAGATTCAGATTAAGTCCTCGTGCACAATTGACGTTTTTACAGCTGCTGGATGCAAAAAAGCTGAAAAAACTCATGTTTTTAAACGTGACTTTACACAGCTAACGTTACCTAGTACCTACTAGTGGGTTTCAACAGGAGTTTTTTAGCTGTAAAAATGCTCTAACGCTGATAAAAGCTGACTAATGCTAAAAAACATGGCCATCTGGCGTTTCCAAGCGTTTTTGAGCCTGAAGATTTTGTGGGAGTTTAACTTTGCTAAAAAACGCAACCCCTGGAAAACTCTTTAAAAAACTGCTGAAAAAAGCTAGTGCACTAAAGCTAAAAAATGCAAAAAATCTCAATGCAGCATTCTACAGCTAACGCTACAGGCATTTTTATAAGGTCCAGAGTGCATGAGATCCAATAGTAATGAATTTTAACAAATCTGAAATAAATTAAAACAAATTTTTTGAAAACAAATTTGAAAATGAATTGGAATTCAAAATGGAAACATATTGCAGTGAATACAGTAAGGTAGACAAATGAAATATGATGATTATTTTTACTTGGGCTGCTTTATTGAATAGAATAGAAAATAAAAAGAATGGAATAAAATAGAACAAATATAGCCATCAAATTTCAGATCGATTTAAAAACAAATATGCGAAATGAATCCAAATATACGAAACTAATTCCAAGAATAGAATAGAACAAAAAAGCACAGAATACAATAGAGCAAATATAGCTGTCTTTCGAGTCGATTTGAAAAAAACAAATATACGAAATGAATGCAAATGTAGGAAACAAATTCCAAAAATGAATCATTGTAACATAATGAATATGACGAAACAACATTATTAACTTAATAAATGAATACGAAATGAAGTTTTCCATCATGCACATCACCACTGTGGTTCAGTTGCTTGCTTTTACTAACCCCCCCCCCCCCCCCCCCCCCCACATTGTTGTGTAAACTAGGTTTTATGATGTCCATACTCAGTGTGATAAAACTGGACAAACAAAGTGATATGACAAAATGACCGAATTAGTCACAGACAAGCTATGTGTGACAGTGAGGGTTTTAATCATGGAAAAATGATTGTACCAAGTCCAATAATGGCATTTTTTTCCCCACCCTTGTAACTCATGATCTATCTACATGTACAGTCAGGTCCATAAATATTAAGACATCAACACAATTCTAACATTTTTGGCTCTATACACCACCACAATGGATTTGAAATGAAACAAACAAAATGTGCTTTAATTGCAGACTGTCAGCTTTAATTTGAGGGTATTTACATCCAAATCAGGTGAACGGTGTAGGAATTACAACAGTTTGCATATGTGCCTCCCACTTGTTAAGGGACCAAAAGTAATGGGACAATTGGCTTCTCAGCTGTTCCATGGCCAGGTGTGTGTTATTCCCTCATTATCCCAATTACAATGAGCAGATAAAAGGTCCAGAGTTCATTTCAAGTGTGCTATTTGCATTTGGAATCTGTTGCTGTCAACTCTCAAGATGAGATCCAAAGAGCTGTCACTATCGGTGAAAAAAGCCATCATTAGGCTGAAAAAACAAAACAAACCCATCAGAGAGATAGCAAAAACATTAGGCGTGGCCAAAAACAACTGTTTGGAACATTCTTAAAAAGAAGGAACGCATTGGTGAGCTCAGCAACACCAAAAGACCAGAAGACCACGGAAAACAACTGTGGTGGATGACCGAAGAATTCTTTCCCTGGTGAAGAAAACACCCTTCACAACAGTTGGCCAGATCAAGAACACTCTCCAGGAGGTAGGTGTATGTGTGTCAAAGTCAACAATCAAGAGAAGAATTCACCAGAGTGAATACAGAGGGTTCACCACAAGATGTAAACCATTGGTGAGCCTCAAAAACAGGAAGGCCAGATTAGAGTTTGCCAAACGACATGCAGAAAAGCCTTCACAGTTCTGGAACAACATCCTATGGACAGATGAGACCAAGATCAACTTGTACCAGAGTGATGGAAAGAGAAGAGTATGGAGAAGGAAAGGAACTGCTCATGAACCTAAGCATACCACCTCATCAGTGAAGCATGGTGGTGGTAGTGTCATGGCGTGGGCATGTATGGCTGCCAATGGAACTGGTTCTCTTGTATTTATTGATGATGTGACTGCTGACAAAAGCAGCAGGATGAATTCTGAAGTGTTTTGGGGAATATTATCTGCTCATATTCAGCCAAATGCTTCAGAACTCATTGGACGCCGCTTCACAGTGCAGATGGACAATGACCCAAAGCATACTGCAAAAGCAACCAAAGAGTTTTTTAAGGGAAAGAAGTGGAATGTCATGCAATGGCCAAGTCAATCACCTGACCTGAATCCGATTGAGCATGCATTTCACTTGCTGAAGACAAAACTGAAGGGAAAATGCCCCAAGAACAAGCAGGAACTGAAGACAGTTGCAGTAGAGGCCTGGCAGAGCATCACCAGGGATGAAACCCAGCGTCTGGTGATGTCTATACGTTCCAGACTTCAGGCTGTAATTGACTGCAAAGGATTTGCAACCAAGTATTAAAAGTGAAATATTGATTTATGATTATTATTCTGTCCCATTACTTTTGGTCCCTTAACAAGTGGGAGGCACATATGCAAACTGTTGTAATTCCTACACCGTTTACCTGATTTGGATGTAAAAACCCTCAAATTAAAGCTGACAGTCTGCAGTTAAAGCACATCTTGTTCGTTTCATTTCAAATCCATTGTGGTGGTGTATAGAGCCAAAAAATGTTAGAATGGTGTCGATGTCCCAATATTTATGGACCTGACTGTAAATGAACGTCCCACAGAGAATGAAGAGACACCACAGACCAACCCTGCACAATCAATTTTTTTTCCATCACAGTTGGTCGAGTTGGGTCAATGAAAGCCATCACTATCTGTCGCTCATCACTCACCCTTGCCATTTTTGTCCTGATCAATTCATTTTTCCTGTAATGATGGCTATACACAGTATGGTGGCACTGAACGATCAATGTCTGGTTCAACAAAACAATCATATCAAACATCGATCGCACTGTGTATGGCCAGGAAAAATGGAAAGTGGCACACCAACACATTCCTAAGTGGCTTCTTTACTGATCCTTATAGTCATTTGTACAGGAGATGAGAGAGATCACTTCTAACATGTTGCACACATAGGTGCTTAAGCTAGCCACAGACTGATGGAAATTTAGAAAGTTCAGCAGGGATTCAGAAATGAATCAGAGTGTGGCTGTCCCTGCTCGACAGAAGTCAGTCATTTGATTAACTTCTGTCAAATGGACATGCTGGAAAACGTTTGTCGATCAAAGCAGCCATTGTATTCTGACAGTGGCGAGTCCCTCTGTCAATGTACAATGTGCCAGGGGGAAGGGAGGGGATTTCTCTATCCACTTAGTTTGTGTGGGTGGAGTAATCTGCCCGTGATTTAAGTGCCATTGAAAATGAGTGGCAGCTGAACACGCGTGCTGCGATTTCTCATTTTGCACAGCATTTTGGGATCGCAGGCAGAATCACAAATTCTATTCCGAAATACAAAACGCCCAGGTGTGAACAGAGCCTGAAGTGTCTATGTGTTGTGATATTCTAGGCGGGTCATTCAAGTGTAGTGCTTACCAATGAGTTCAGTCCAGCCAAGAAATACGTTGTAGGGCTTGATGACCCATTTTTATTTCAGGAGAAAGTAAAAGTTCAGATGGAAACAAACAGTTACCCTTACAGGGGTTTCCACCATCACTTCAGAACACAAAAAACAACAACCTTAAAGCAGTGTTAAACCAGAAGCAAACATTTGTTATATTGCAGCTTACCAATTCTTGGATGAGATGGCTGCATTCATTTTCTTTTTTAGGCTTTCGTTCCATAATTTTCAGCTGGTGATCTAGCTAGTATGTCTGTTGTTTTTCAGTAGAACAGGCTGTCCTCCCTTGAGTGACAATGCTGCTGTCTGGTGGCTGCTATGCTTCCTATTCCCCCAGCCACTGGTCTTGGCACATCCCTTCTGTAGTTCTTTCTCCAGGAAGCAGTGATGTA